AACTTCTTAGAGTCTACTTAAACCTGTCACTTGTACGATCAGTGCCTACACCATCGAAATGGTGCACCAGGCAAACAACAACCTGGATAAGTTGTGAAGCTTATGAGAGTGACAATAATATCAAGTATGTGAGAATAATGCTAATGCCAACCATCAAACACAGTTTACATATCTTGAATATAAATCATTCATAAGAAATCAATACCAACTTTTGTAAACCCCGAAGGAGTCACCCAGACATCCAACGGTTCGTCTGAAACCAATCACAACATCTCACAACCATCTTCTCATACAACACAATGAAAAGTAGAGTTAGAGCGACACAGTTTGGCCGAAGCCTACACCTTTGAAGATATCTCAATTCAAATTCAATAAATCCCAAGGTGAGTACGATCCCGGACCTTCACTCAACGAAATCGTGAAATATGAGGGATTCCGGACAATCTCTCAACGGAATCCAAGTGGATACAATTTCGGACCCTCACTCAACGGAATCGCTAAGTACGATACATAACAATAACTAAATGAAACCCAAATTAGATACGATTCTGGAACATCACTCAACGGAATCATGAAATAAAAGGGATTCCGGACCATCTCTCAACGGAATCCGAGTGGATACGATTCCGAACCATCACTCAACGGAATCGCAGAAGACCAACAACCAGAATGTACGACGGCTCAAAGAAATGAGACAAGCACATGCTACTTAATTTACAAAAACTCAACAAAGGGAGATTAGGCACAATTACTAAATTTAGAACCAATCACCACAGCGGAAGGTGAAACAATATCGAAGCAACAAATCCCCATCATAATGGTTAACGGTCCATTACTAGTCCTCACATTAATCTCAACATGCCAATCATACAAATCAAACCACATTTCCAATATACATGCCACACCCTATTTCATAAACATAAATTGATGTCGAAGTATTGGAATAACAATTCAATAGAACATATTCATAAAACCAATTCATATCCACACATGATCATAATTATGACAACCTGATAATTACCAATATCACATATATTAAAGTCACTTACCTGGAGTCCGTGCTAATGTACCCTAGCACGATAGTCAATGCATCACGTTCTATCACCGCCTAACAAAGCACAAGTCCACATTTAGATTTCCTTCGATAATTCACATACTCAAAAATTCTCATATGTCTCCCACAACAACATTTAATGAGGAATCAAACCGTCGTTCTAATGTAGGGTCCATGATCTTACGTCATTTGCTTCGTAAAATCCAATCACTAGATTTTCACTTATAAGTCCCTAAGGTCCTTAAACAATATCTACAATAGCATACTAAAATTTGGTGTCGATTCAGTGATAAGATCGTCAATTGTTAGAATAATCAAGTGGCAGACCTTATCGATAATATATACAATCAATAGCATTTTCATAAATCGAATGTCACACACCGGAAAATTTGATTTTCTCCAAAAATTCTCAAATTTTATAGGAATAAAGATTTCAACAAGTAGAGTAAACTTTATACCTGTGGCTGAGTCCAATTTGGCCTGGAAGGCCCTCAAATTGGCTCGCACCCAACAAACCCTAAGGTAGGTGTTCTTCAATTGGCTCCCTTGGTGTTCCAACGTCCCAACCACCAGTTGGGTCTTGTTCCTGGGTCCAAGGGAAGTTGATCAAGGGTGATGGTTAATGGTGATACTATTCGGAACGACAATTCGTCGTCGAAAACCCCTGGGTTCTTCGATGGAGTTCTACCCGAATTAGACCTTAAAATCCTTGATTTTATTTGGTGGAGATGGAAGGAAGAAGATAGTTGAGCAAGTTGCAAGTGAAGGAGATAGGAAAATCAACTGGGAAATGGAGGAATTGGCCTGAAATTGGCCTGTTTGAATTTGGCTGGTGGACCTCACGATTTCATGAAATAGGGAGGAAGAAAGTGGCCTTTCCTTTTTCTTTTCCAAATGGGTCCTTTCATACCCTTTAAAAATCTGATAGGTCCCCACTTTTCTATTTTTTTTCTTTACTAACTTAACCTTTAACCCATGCTTCCCACAATCTATAGTTCACAACTTCAAACGTTCGTAACTATACCGTTATAATTCAGACTCGCAAACGGCTTTCGCCTATGCGTTCGTGGATTCAAGATCTATTTAAAAACACTAGTTGTAACTTTGAAATATCAACGAAAGATAAAGATTGATTATGAAACTTCCAACTTGACAACTAATCAATTACTAAACTTATAATTAGTGGAATTAAAATTAACTAATAAAGATAATGTAATCGCAAAATACGAATTTAAATTACGAAACACGAAATAAATGGTGAAATTCTGGGGATGGGATTTCACATAAGAACTTCAGGTTTTGGGTGTAATCCGGATTTAATCTCATGAGATGTTGAGGGAGAGATTCATTTGTGCATGTTCCTCCACTTTTAGGGAGGTGCATCCTTCAACATCTAAAACTTAGAAATACAAGATTGATAGGTTTTGAGAAGAAGAATTTTACCTCCGAACGCTCAGCCCAAGGAGAATAAAGATGCATAGGTCATGCTAGAGGTGAAGAAAGCTCGGTTTAAGAAGTCCCTTCAAGTTTGGAAGCCTGTTTTGGAAAGCAACAAAAACTAGCTAAGTGCAAGAGGGGTGAACTTCATATAATACTCAAAGTTCAAAAAAGGTTACCTTCAACTCCTCCAGAATCTTGGCTATGACCTCTTTGTCACTTTGCTGCCCTTCTACACCTACCTGTATCTTCTGAGGGGAAGGATCAAGCTTCTTGCTGATAATAGGTCCTAGTTACAAGAAATGATAAGATTAGCTCAAAGAATCAAAGAAATGGACTGAGATTGCTTGTCTAAATCCCAGCTGTCTACCACAGAAGTTGGGGTGGTAAACCTTCATCCTACTTTCACAGCCCACTCAGTCGCTCCGTACTCCCTAAGTCAAATCCCTCTACCAGATGAAGCAAACGAATTTCTCCTTGCAGAAGCTGTTGGCATCCTCCCCAAATGAATCCTAGAAGAAGTTGTCCGAGAACTAAGGGTATATCTTGAGTACTGAAGCACCTTCCAGATCAGTCCGAGTCTTACAAATTCTAAAGAAATAAAGGCAAGCTAAGGTAAAGTGATTGGTGGTGGGAGCCTCTGCCAGAATTTGAGCTGAAGCTACTCCCTCTGGAAACTCTAGGTTAGCAGACCGAAACTCCGAGAAGTACCATTGAAGCGAGAGCTTCACCATCCAGGTAGCTTCGTTGACATTAGTCTTGAATGGCTGGTCCCTTGTCATCTCATAAAGAAGATGATAGAGATGTGCCAGAAAATGACCGATGGCAACATTATCGAAGGAATACAGCGCCTCCACCAAAGGGATCCATTCCAACTTCACTCTTTTAGATTTGTTTGGGAACACATGTTTATTCAACCAATAGAGGAGAAAGTACATGTGCTCCTAAGCTGGATCAGAGGTGGGAGAAGGCTGGTTGAACATCTTCTTGGCAAAAGGAATGAAGCCCGCGAAAGAAGTCGCATAGCTCTTGAAGGTAGTGAGGTTATACTCCAAGCTAGTGATCGACTGAGAAGCCTCTAAACCTTCAGCAGCAGGGCATGAGGGTGAAGACCAATAATATGTAATGTCTACACACTTGCCTGATGGCCTCAAACCAAAGACCTGAGCCATATCCAGAATGGTGAGAGTTAAGGGGCCCACTCTGAAATTAAAGGTATTAGTCCCTGTGTTCCAGAATAGAAGAGCTGTTGAGATAAGCTCATTCTTCCTCGAAGAAAATGGACAGGTTGAGGCCAGCCTAAGGGCAATGAATGCCGTTGACCTGAGGGCAATGAAGGTCGTTGAGCCGACGGGAGTCATTGTTGAATTCAAGAGAAATGAGTGAAAGAGTGACTGGAAATTGAGGTAAGAGAAGGCTGAGAATGCAAGAGATTTGGGAGCTTAGGGAGTCAAGTTTGCTGAATGAGGTGGCCGAGAAAAGTGAAATGGAAGTTATTTAACGGGCAAGTAGTTAACTTTGAAAATCATGGGTTAGTGCAAAGATTTGTTTGAAACGGCTAATTAAGTGGTGCTAATACCCAGTTCCGGCAAGCAATTAATTTTAATCATTATCAATGTCTTGATTAGCAGACTTAACAATAATTAAAAGGGGCACTGTTTGAGTAGACATTTAATGCTGGGCTTAGTGAGAGTGGAGGCCCAAGAACACAAAAAGCAAGGGGAGGATTAGGCTCGAACAAATCGACAGCCCAGGAAGAATTGAAAATCATTTTTGCCAAAAGTACTTTTCGTGGGAATGGATAGGTAAATAAATGGTGACTCACCATGTTCCGGAGGCCATCACCAAAAGTTAAGGCTTAGACATTAGGGCTAAAGAGTCTATAAAAGCAGCAAGGAACACAAGGGATAGTGACACTCAACCAATCAATCAAAAGACATCCAACTTTGCTCTTAGACAAGCAAGAAACCAGAAAGCTTTAGTTTGTCCAGACTCTACTCTTTTAGTCATAGATCCACCATAGAAAGCCATCTTTTGTCAAGTTTTAGAAGCTCTGCTACTTTTTCCCAGTATTGTAGTATCTAATCCCTTTAGTAAACCCGATTTACATCTCATTCTCTCAAGATTACAACCCCTGTAAAACACAAAGAGAAGTGGTTGTAAGAAAATGAACCTTGCCAGGCAAGGTTATAAGCTTGCCCGAATCTCTTTCGTTTGTACTTACATAAAGTATATTTGTTGTTTAATATATCTTCCATTGTGTCTTAAATCATTTTGAACTGCTTTTCGTTCAAAGTTTCATCTATGATTAATTTGGCTACACTAATTAACCTTGCTTCTTTAGTGTTAACTGTAATCAAAGAAATGGTTGGAAGGGTCCTGAACTCCATTTATCTGGACATATAATATTATAAGTAAAAGTTCTTGTTTAAAAGGCAAGAAAAAGAATTATATACAGACTTAACCCATTTGTAACAATCCAATAGAATTAAGAAGTTTAAGTAACTTATGGCGCAAGTAATCAACCCATTTCATAACCAAAAAAAAGAACAATCTGTTATACAAAGATACGTTCATATCCATATTAGTTTTGATTGTGAGCCTCAAAGTCTAACGAATGCCCCACAAAGGCACCATTTAAACTAATTGCAAACTCATATTGCAGCACACCAAGCAGCAAACCTTAGCCGACAAGCAAGACCCCTGGAAGTTATGCGAGGGACATATCTAGCCCAAACAAGTGTGACACTAGTTTAGCTGCACCAAGCCAGTGGGATCTTGTTTCCGACAAGCGGATGACGGAGGAGGAACAGCCGCTTCAGGTGGCAAGATGTACTAAGGTAATCAATCCAAATTCTGAAGTGCTAAATTCATTCCTTGATGCAATGAACAAAGTCGTTATGGGGAACAAGAAGTTTAGTGCAATGCCTAAACATATGGTTTACAATTTATATTTGACTATAGAACTTCATGTACATTAGAACCTCGATAATTTAAAATATCCGATAAAACAATAAGGCTGATTAAATAATATTTTTGGATGGTTCAAACTTGGAGATAATGTGCTAAATTAATAATTCGCTAAATATCAAAGAGAATATATAATGAAAATTTTATATAAGTCCCACGTCATATATAAATTAATGATTTCTTGATTTCTTTACACCTTTGAGATTAGAAACCATTGTTCTATGTATGATGTGTTACTATGACTTATGGGAGAAATAAGAAAGCTCATGAATTGTACTTCCTTAAACAAATGTATAGAATTGTTAATTCGTAAATCAAGAAACTAAATAAAATGTACAATATTTGAGTAAATAAGAAGGAATATTATATGATTGATAAATTAATAATTTTTTTAATTTGTCAATTATTTAACATTTGCTAAAGTAATAGATTTTCTTTGGTCCCAAGGTTACTAATTTATGGAGGTTTAACTGTATGTTTTTGTTACGACAGTTTCAATTTTGTTTGTTTATCTATGTTTTTTTTGTTATTTAGTTTCTATTCTTTCTGTTAAATGATTTGTGAGCCTATTACAAAAACACGAAAAGAAAAAATGATTTGTGTGCCTAGCGTAAATTTCAAAATGATGACGTAAATGTAACACTCACTAAAATAACGAACAATTTTCATACGATTCCATATCCATCCACCCTTCTAAAATACACAAAAAATATACAGACCTCCACCACAAGGTACTGAAAAATCTCAACCAAGGTTGGAGTATAATCATGTGAACTATTATAATTCTTTACTTTTTTGGGACAAACAATAGAGTAGTGTACGTACACTAAACTCACTTAAATTACAGGGAAGGAGATTGAAATACGAGACCTCGAGTGCAAGGACGAATGTTCTTAACCAAGTCAGCCACAAGCCACTTACAATCTATAATAATTATTTTCAATTTCATATTTTTAGCAAAGCAAAGTAATTTGGATTGCTTTGAATGTTTTACTCAGATCAAAAATTTACAAATTTTGAACGCCGCATTGCATTTATAAATTTATTAACCATAGCTAGCATTGTTGGAAATGCTTTAAAAAATGGGTGTTTAAAAATTATTTCCTCAAGGTATGCTTTAACGGCGTTTAATCGGTTTCAGTGATTGCATTCGAGTGCTACAGAGCAAGCGTAATACTACGTATAACATTAAAGAAAGAAGTAGAGCCCTAGTATCTGAATATCCATCCATAAAGCATGTTATAGCCGCACCAACAAATGTTGTTTCATTATTCATTCATGTCAACTCAATTGGAATAGCAAGGGATTTAAGACGAGCTAAACTAAAAATGAACTATGCGCAGAAAGCGAAAAATAAGAATGTTTATTACCAGAGACATTGTGGTCTCCGAAAAGGAGATATCAACAGACCTGGGAAAGAAGGCAACTTGAACTTGCCTAAATAATCGTCGTCTCCAACTCTCAACTCTTATATATAGGATGCCGTCTCCTGCAATTCCAAGTCAAACAGTGGAACGAAGGGAAATCATATTGATCACTCGAACCAAAGGTACAAATATCACCGATAATAGTTTCGGCAGCCATGTATTTGCAAATAAAAATCATAACTAAGAAAATGAGGTGGTTATATTACCTCTTTGGTCGACTACGGTCTTCCTCATAGTCCATCACTCCTCCAGGTTCGGAGTAGATCTCCTCATGCCCCCGGAAGTCAACGTCGGCCTGCTTACAGTGGGGAACTTCTGCCACAATGTAAGTAAAGACACATCGACCAACATATCCCAATAACTAAACAAAAGATTAATAAAAAATTATGTGTTTCGTGTGTGGAGTGGGACTAAAGAACTCGTTCATCTATGATTATGTATAGCTTCAGAATAGCTCATCAAAAAGGCGCTGATGTGCACATTTGTGGCAGAGAAATACATCAACGAAAATAAAATCATAATATCGTGTTTTACCATCCCATGCCATATGTTCAAATCATCAAAATGGATCCCGTTCACTTTATTAGGAAGGATTACTTGCAGAAGCAATACAAAAAATACAACAGGATTAAACTGACCTTGATGGAAATCGACTTCTTTACTTCTTCCACCCTATTTCCAACTTCTTTCTTGTGTTCCTTGGCCACTTCAGTCATAGTATCAGCCCACTTCATCTTTTCTTGAATTGAGATAAGAAGATTGCTTGAGGTATCCAACCTACGTTTTCATTCACACAAAATTTAGGCAATACCATCAGATTTATATCTCAAAAAGAAACTTGAGAAGTCATTAACTTAGAAGCAAAATATCACAAAGTCAGCATACTGGATAAAACACGAGAATGCATTACTACGAAAAACATGGAACCACTTTTTTTAATGTGGAGATAGTTAATAAACTCTACCACATGAAACAATTTCATTAAATTGGTAATAGATGCTCCATAGCATTTGATTGCACACAACTAAGAGTCAGGAAACTTTTATGCAATCAAGGTCAGACATGAATGTTTTCAGATCATAATGCACATATTTAGGACCAAATTCTAAATAAGAAGTTCCATCTATGCATACTGAACATACAACCCAACAGAGAAACTGCATCAGAGACGTTACCAGTTTGACAGTGTTTGAATCATACTCCCAAGTTGTCCAGGTCTCGGATCTCTCCCTGCAGCAAACTGGAGCTGCATTTTACAAGAAATAATTGATTCGATATTTCTTATAAGGAAATAAACAAAGAGCAACGAGAAAAGGCAAGCGAAAACAAGTAAAACAACACAAAAATTAAAAATAATTTGAAGCAAAGGCAGCAGTAATAAACACAAACCTCAAAGCATTTTTGCAGCTGGTCCAGCTTTCCTCTTATTATGCCCTAAGAGAAAACATGACATCTCCTTCATGTTTTCTCTATCCACTTAACTATGTTACACAGATACAAATACATGATAAATTACTATATAACAAGGTTGGGATAATAAAATAGTATATATCACATTACACATATATGTGCAAAAGTAATCTACGTAAGAGAGTCAGAAGTGAGTTGTAATTTAAAAGTACCAATACATTTTTAAGGAAAAGATTCACACAAAAAAATACCCTTGTGCATCTGGATGCGTATGTACACAACACATGTCGCACTATATCCAAAATGTCAATGAATACTGCAAATCTGTATCTGATAACTGTTGGGGTGTTATCGGGGGTGGGGGGGGGTGTTGGGAATCAGGGCCATATCCTTACAGGATACTCACCTGCAATATTTGGAATATCGCTTCATAGACCAAACTAACAGTAACAATTTTCAGGTACTGTCCAATATTCAAAAATAAATTCTTACACGGGCAAGAACCGAGTCCTGCGGCCCATGCAGAGTAAAATTGGCGGACAGATGGACGGGAGAAGAGTGTTTATTTGTACTGTATTTGAATAACAATTCGTTAAAGTTATGATTATTCATTCCACAACCTTCACTAAAGAAACCTTTTTGTCCAGTAAAAGATGCATATTTCAATGTAACTAGGAAAAAATAGAGGTAGAGGGATGAAAGAATTATTACCGCATACATGCACTCATTAATGAGAAAATCCTCGAGCTCTTGTACATTGATAACATCTAACTCCTGCATAAGTTGATGATACGGTAGTACCTGGAAAATAATTCAAGAATATAAGAGAAAACTGAATGCACAACACAATATGGGACATCTGTGTATATAAAAACCGGATATCAACACAATAGTGACCTAGACACCTAATACAGGATATGATGAATCACTACTTTACAAATACTTAAAAAGGTTCTAGAAGACTCTCTCCATGGTCTTTTAGCACAACAATCTCATAATATGTTCAATCAAAGGCATCAGATACTAAGACCTGTAAGTCCACTATTGTTCTGAATTTTGATTGGAACTAATAAGCTTCTGGCATTCCATATAACTTTTCATATCATCGTTTGCAGTAAAAGGCACCATCATCTATTACATTCAGAATTCAATTGGTAACTGCAGTCTTTCCTCCAAGTGCAACTAAAACAAATATCTGTCCATAAAACTTGTCTAAAAGTGATGATAATTTTTCCTCTCCTTTCATTTTTGATGACATATTTTCTGAAGCATGGAAGACATCAAGTACCAAAGGTGACAAGCTCCATATATTCACATTGAAAAACCATACAGCCATAACCATTACTATGCAATCAGAGATGTATATCACCAACAACTTTTCAAAGGATTACGCATTTAAGGAAACATACCTTGTTTGTCTCAGCCAGTGTAAGAACAGTAAGCTGTTTCAGCTTTAAGACTTGATCAGGGACCAAATGTGGAAGACGACTGGCATCACCTACAATACATTTCAGTTTCTTAAATTCCATAACAATGCCAAAGGGATGCTTAATTTCTTTTTTCATGGAAAATATACTCAGAAATTTTATGGGAAGTAGTTCTCCTGGGAATTGACAATATCTCCCGAATTTCAAAAATGATTGAAGTAAGGAAAAGCTTAAATGTTATGGAGGGAATAATAAAGGACATAGTAGTAGAATTTAATAAAAGATACGGCAGTTGCTTTAAAACAAATGTGCCAGTTTACACTTCTTCTAACGAAAATATGTTGCTGCCTCCATTTATTCATCTTATCAGTGAATAAGTATAAGAAAGTATCTTCTTTGACATCTCCAAAGCAACAGTAAGAAAAAAAACCGGTGATGAAGTGATGACTCTGCAGCAGAGCTTGATAGAAATATACATGGGTCAGTTATATCCTCAAGCAACATTAATATGACAAAAGCACCAACTGCATTGGCACCCAAAACCCTGCCACATGTTCTTGATAATGAGGCTGCGCACAATGTTTCATACAATGAACCAACAGACGTTCCAATGGTGGCTCAAATTTTGGGTTTTTCTCCTTCTGAGTTTTGTTTTCATGTTGCACAGGGTTTGTTGATAGTTAAATTTTAGGGCGTTATTGTTCGATTTCTTCATCACAGATATGGAAGCGGAAAACAAGCATTAATCGATTTGGTGCAAGATGACCAAAGCAATCAAACCAACAGCTAGAGAATAACAAACCCATTAGAAAATCGACCAAAAGATGAAGCGATTTTTGCGTGCTTACTCTTGTAATCACTCCATGTGCCATGTGCAAACAATCGAAGCACATGGAGGTACACAGAATTTTCAGTTCCTTCAAGCTGCACATATTCCACAGTCAAAAAACAAATGCGTATGAAACAAAATCCAGTAACAATCAATAATTTTATTTTCTCTTTGGCTGCAACAAAATTCTGATTATACATCCTTTGCTCAAACCCAGAAACTACACGACCAAAATATACACAGAAAACTGAAATTCCACAATAAATAAATAGAAACATGGGAACCTGAAGAACATTAGGGACAGCGATAATTTCCGAAAAGGCAAAAAGGGCAGGGTGGGAGGTGACTTCTGCAACGAGGGGGCCGAGAGCAGAGCCATCGAGTGATGAGGCTTGCTTCACGAAGTGATCAATGACCTCCTCTTGCTTTTGCTCAATCTCCATCTCAAAAAACAACAGAAATTACTAATTGCAACGATGGAAAAATCGAGACGAGACGGTGAAAAGTTCAGCAGTGGAAAGCTAGGGATTTGGTGGGTTGGAATTTCGGGGAAGAGATTGAGGAAGGGCCCAGAGGTTTAGGGGGTCGAAAATAACCCTAAAATCGTCTCCAACCGAGGGCTAGGCCAGAGGGCTCTGGAATTTGAGAGGGCCCACGGGATCAGAGAGGGCTGGAGGGCTGGAGCGCTGGCTGCTTTCGGCCAGCCAGCCCCGGGCTGGCTATTTTTTTTTTATATGATTTCCTATTGCTGTCGGTTATAGCCGACAGCATTAAAGATATTCTTTTTTTTTAATAGTTCTACTATTAGTGTCGGTTATAACCGATACTAATAGTTTGAAATGTTTTTTAATATAACGGCTAGTAGCCGTTGTATTATTAGGCCTTTTTTTTTTCTTTTTTTTTTAATGAATTTAAACTTTTTTTTTTTTAATGAATGTAAACTTCTTTTTTCCCCTTTTTTTTTTCCTTTTCATATGAATCAAATTTTGTTTCATATTTTTTTTCCTATAACTTTTATTTCACAAAATTTGTTTCATATTTTTTTTCAATTCTATTTTTTTCGTATAACTTCCTAGGCCATTTATACAACATTAAATTGTAGTTTTTAAATAATAAATTATGTTTGGCCCTATGGCCCTCGGTTGGAGACGGTTTTTTGTGACAGGGCTAAAACGAGCCCTTTGGCCCTCTGGCCCTCGGTTGGAGACGGAGGCAAATATGGCCCTGTACTGTTCATTAAAATATTAATATCTTGGGGAATCTTGGAGGGCTAGAGGGCTCAAACGAGCCCTCTGGCCAGCCTTCGGTTGGAGATGGCCTAAGGGTAGAATGATGCATTGTCAGATTCTATTGTGGGCACCTGGCATTCGCATCGAGACATCTCCATATCTTAACCGTAATATTTATTAAAATAAATGAGTAATATAATTTGACCGAAATTGATCGTTAATATTAAAACGTAATATGAAGTTACATGTTATATTGAAAAAAAGGTTAAATTAATAAAAAATTAAATGAAAAACCTAAATGAGATCAAAGAATCCAATAATGAGATCAAAGACATCTCCAGTGCATGTATGATATATATTTTCCGATTAGGGATTTGGATTGGAAACCTTATCTGTCATTTCTGCTTTGACAGTCTTGTTTCTCTATTTGTAAATATGAATTCATCACACAAAAACACAAAAAGGTTTTGTTATTTCCCATTAATTTTCTTGTTCAAATATGTCAATAATATGAAAGGTTTTGTTATTCTTTAATGTGGGACTTTCGCCTTCACCTCTTCACATGTACCAATGACTTGTTTTTTCCCATCAATTTTCTTGTTAAAATATGTCAATAATTTTGAAAAATGGTACATAAAAGTACTTTTATAAAGTTATAATATCCTTCACGTGAAAATGTTTTTTTGCAAGAATAAAATGTGTATTGTCCTTGCACGACAAAAGAGAAATTAAGTCACAATGACCATGAAAACTATTGAGGAGAATTTATAAGATAGATATTTATATAAATGATAACATTATTATTTCATCAATGATATAACACAAGTTTTAGGGCTAACGACATTGATGTTTTCTGTTTCTACAAAACCAGTTCCCTTGTAATCCACGATTCTCATTCATTCCCTCCGATGATTGGAACAATGTTGTACAAATTTCGTAGCTCTGGTTTTAAAATTTTAGATAATTCTTGTTATAAACATTACTCTTAAATAAGTATTCTTAGTTACTAAGGCATAGGAAAGTTTCGATTTCATTTGATTGAAAAGATTGTCTCCAATTAATCGAATGAATAAGAATCCTTTCAAATGAACATAGCTGCTTTCATTCTAATTTCAGAAAATCCAAATCCATGAAAACATGCAGCACTCTACTATCTTTATTTACATTACTTTCTATCTCCATTTAATTGTTAAAGAAACTCGATGGTACAAGCAAACTGATATAACTTAAAAACAATATGATTTATAAGGCTGAGTCTTGAACTTGAACAACACAATCAACTAAAAGCTAAAAAACACCAATACATTCTATCTTTTTTCTTTTTTAAAAAAACCTCGACGGTACGAGGGAAAATTTATTGAATAAAAAAGAAGTTATATCTAGTCAGGGGATATAAACTTTACCCCTCAAAATAAAAAAAGAAAAAAAAAAAGAAACCGAAAGTAAAAGAAAATATGAGGGACATACACTTACATAACCTGATGCAAACTTATAAATAAACATATAGAAAGTGAAGGAAAGAAACACAACAGAGAAAACAAACGACAACAAGAAATGCGCAACGGTAACAAACTGATCATTCCAACGACTTAAGAAACAAGTCGGGCCTCCTTGTGATCACAACATCTGCAAGAACTACTCCCACTACCAACCCACTTCCACATCCGGCCGAAACAATTTTCCAATCAAATTCAAATATGCCTTCTGAGCTAGAATCACCTTCGTCGACGGTTGAAGGTGGAAGTTGAGGGGCCTTAGGATTTCCACATTTCTTTGGCAATGGATCTCCACACAACCCTGGGTTTCCCTCGTATGAAGTGAATTTCAAGGAAGTAAGTTGGGTTCCAAGGGATGATGTGATAGAACCAGTGAGAATGTTGTGGTATAGAATCAGTTTCACCCAAGGAAGGAAAAGTGGAGGTTGGTCTGAAATGAAGTTTTGAGAAATGGCCAACAATACCAAAGTTTCTATGGTTGTGTTCCACATCCATTTTGGTACTTGGCCTCGGATTTTGTTTCTAGAAAGGTCCAAACGCTCCAAACTTTTCTAATATTGTAAGAAAGATGGAAACTCTGTTAGGTTGCAAAAACTCAATCCAAGAATGGTGAACTGTGGAACTGTTGAATTCACAATTTAATTGGAGTTGGTAAAGAAATTGTAGATTTTGAAACATTTGAAACTCTACTACACCACACTCAGACTATTCGAATGTAGATAAAGGATCTGAAGGTTTGTGAGATTTGAAAAAGATGTGAGGTTTGCCAAGGAATCAGGAATCGGACCTCCAAATCTGTTGAGTGAAATGTCTAGATCAGTGAGCTTCCTAAGATTCCCAAGTGAAGATGGAACCAACCCTTCCGAAAAATTGCATTGAGCCACATCCAACTCTTGCAGTGAATCAAGGTTTCTAAACGAAGAGGGTATGTTCCCGAAAAACCTAGTAAAGGAAACTTTCAGAAGCATGAGAGGACTACTTCGATTAAATTCAGGAAAATATCCAGTCAGATCTTGGTTGTATCTCACACTAAGAATTTCTAGGTTTGGTAGTTGGAAAATTCTCACAGGAAATTCACCAAACAGGTGACATCCCACGATGGCTAGGGCATTCAAAGATGATAAGTTAGCCATTGAATAAGGAATTGCCGAAGATATGTTTACCAAACTGAGGGAAAGTACTTCGAGACTAGTTAAGTTTTGAACTAGGCTTCCAAACTGAGGTAGTAGGAATTTGAGAGTAATTGAAGTTATTGTCAGAGAGGTTTAACCTTTGACATCACTTTCATCTCCATTTTGTTTGTTAAAAGATACGAACAAACGTTGACATAACTTAAAACAATACGATGTATAGGGCATGGTCTTGACCTTGAACAACCAATCAACTAGAAGCTAAAAAGCAGAAATACATTCTTTCTTTCTTTTTAAAAAAACCTCGACGGTACGAGGGAAAATTTTATTGAATAAAAAAAAAGTTACACCTAATCAGGAGGACATAAACTTTACCCCTCAAAATAAAGAGACAATGAAGAAAAGAAAGCGAAAATACAAGAAAGTAGGGGACATACACTTACATAACGGGAAACAAACTTATAACTAAACGTATAGGAAGAGAAGGAAAAAAACCACAACAAAGAAAATAAACGACAACAACAAATGCATAACATTGTAACGTACCCAATTTCTAAGCCCCCCACTAGTACTCTAAATTTTCCTTATCATTTGTCTGATCATTCCAACAATCTTAAGAAACAAATCGGGCCTCCTTGTAATCACAACATCTGCAAGAATTACTCCCACTACAAACCCACTTCCACATCCGGCCGAAACAATTTTCCAATCAAATTCAAATATTCCTGCTGAGCTAGAATCACCTTCGTCTACAATTGAAGGTGGAAGTTGAGGGGCCTTAGGATTTCCACATTTCTTTGGCAATGGATCTCCACACAACCCTAGGTTTCCCTCGTATGAAGTGATATTCAATGAAGTAAGTTGGGTTCCTTGTGGTATAAGACCTGTGAGATTGTTGTGAGACACATTGAAATTGGCAAGAAAAGTAAGTCGACTCAGTTGTTGGGGGATCTGTCCTGAGAGCATGTTTTGTGAAAGGTCCAACGATTCAAGCTTCGTCAAGTTTCCGAAGGATGATGGAATAGAACCAGTGAGAATGTTGTGGGATAGATTCAGCGAACGAAGCTCCTTAAGGTTCCCAATGAATTCTGGAATTTTCCCTTCAAATTTGTTGCTTGAGATATCAAAGGATGCAAATTCTTCTCGGATCTTTGGGTAGTATTGCTCCAAACCTTTTGTTGCTATTGTGAGTTGGTAATCAACATTGCTCCAAACCGGGAATCCATCGACATCATAAACTACACGTGTGTACATATATGTTGACTTGTTTACAGTAATATCTAGAAACACAGATGGAACCGCTCCAGTAAAATCATTGTAAGCCAAATCAAGAATGCGTAACTTGGGGAAATCGACATTCTTTCTAGATTTTCCAATCACACCGTAGAATCCATTATGGCGCATTGCCAAAAGTTTTAACTCTAGAAGAGTCCCCAACCAAATGGGAAAAACATCATTGAAACGATTGTTTGACAAAACAAGATACTCAAGCATCACACAATTGGCCAATGACCTCGGCAACTGCCCCTGCAACTTGTTATGACTCACATCAATCATTCTCAAACTGCTTCCTTTGTTGTATGTCTGAGGAATAATTCCGTGAAAAGCGTTGTTTCCGAGAAGTAGAAGTGTCAGATGATCACTAAAGTTTCCAAGACACTGAGGAAGCATGCCACTCAAGTTATTTTTCGACAAGTCAAGGGACAGAAGATTTTTCATATTGCAAAGCAACGGTGAGATTTCTCCAGTAAAGTTGTTGTCTGCAGCTGCATATTCTCGCATGGTTGGTGGAGGTATCGGTAGTGATCCATGAAACATGTTGGACGAAAACCTTAGACATAACAGTTTCACCCAAGGAAGGACAAGTGGAGGTTGGTCTGAAATGAAGTTATTGGAAATGTCTAACAATAGCAAAGTTTCTAAGCTTGTATTCCACATCCATTTTGGTACTTGGCCTCGGATTTTGTTTCCAGCAATTTCCAAACGCGTCAACCCATTCTGATATTGTAAGAAGGATGGAAACTCTCCTAAGTTGCAATTACTCAATCCAAGAACAGTGAACTGTTTAACTGTTGAATTCAAAATTCTGGATTGAGTGACAAGTTCTAAACCGTTCCCGCTTAATTCGAGTTGGTAAAGAGATTGTAGATTTTGAAACATTTGAAACTCTACTGCACCACTCAGAGTATTCGAATGTAGATACAGGATCTGAAGGTTTGTGAGATTTGAAAATGACGCAGGAACTGAACCATTTAATCTATTAAAAGCAAAATCTAGGTACTCTAGTTTGCTAAAGTTGCCTAGCCAAGATGGGATTGGACCGGTTAATCGACTTGTACTAATCCTAAAAGTAGCCAGTTGGGTAAGGTTTGCCAAGGAATCAGGAATTAGACCTCCAAATTTATTGGCTGAAATGTCTAGATAAGTGAGCTGCCTAAGATTCCCAAGAAAAGATGGAACCAACCCTTCCGAAAAATTGCATTGAGCCACATCGAAGTTTTGCAGTGAATGAAGGTTTTGAATTGAAGAGGGTATTGTTCCAAAAAAGCCAGTAAAGCCGACTTTCAGTAAGATGAGAGGACTGCTTTGATTAAATTCAGGAAAATATCCAGTCAGATCTTGGTTGTATCTCACACTAAGAGATTCTAGGTTTGGCAGTTGGAAAATTCTCACTGGAAATTCACCAAACAGGTGATAGTCCCTGAGGTAGAGGGTTGTCAAAGATGATAAATTAGCCATGGAATGAGGAATTGCCGAAGATACATTTACAAAACTGAGAGAAAGTACTTCGAGACTGGTTAAGTTTTGAACTAGGCTTCCAAGATCTGATGCTTCAAGTTTCAACAAGGGATAATTCTCCTCTTCTGACGACTGATGATCCTTATCTTCTGACAATCTATCGAGATTGAGAGCTAGATTAAGGTATGTCAACTTGGATAACAGTGAAAGTTCAGAAGGGACTTGACCAGAAAAGACAGAGGTAGAGAGGTCAAGATGAGTAAGGCTTGGAAAATTCCTAATGCTAGTAGGAATTTGAGAGTAATTGAAGTTATTGTCAGTGAGGTTTAACCTTTGAAGATGAACAAGGCGGAAGAGGCTGCTGTTGCTGTTGATAGTGTTGGGACTTAAAAAGGCTTCACTACTTTGGAGATGTTTATCTCACAAAGAAGAATGAAATGCAGCGGAATTGATAGGCAAGAGAAAGAACACTCAAAGTGTTATACAAATTTTTTTTATTCTCACACAAACTTAGTACAAGAGGAAACACTCAAACACTCTCACACTTCTTGCTCTCTTACTTGCTCTCACTTCTTCTTAGTTCTTGCTTCACAACTCACACACATACACCTATTTATAGGCATGTTTGCCGACCTATGCCATCACTAGAGTTTTCTAGTGTATGAACATGCACATACTACACCAACCTAGGCATTTGCTAGATTATTCTAGCTTGTTATGCATGCCACCGACATGGGCATTACATAATAACCTATACATTTATGATGGTTCTAGCCTTTTCTACATACAAACCATTTTTCTAGATTTTCTTAAACTTTTCCAACTTTCTACCTTCTTTGCTAGAGTTTTCTAGCATTTTCTCATTGGTTTTGGGTTGGATCACTTGTCTTGGGCCTAAGACAAGATTACTATTCAACATCCCCCCTTAATCTTGTCTTGTGACGCCGATTGAGTTTCTCAGTCTGACAAAGTCTTCTTGCCTAAGTGGTTTGGTAAATATGTCGGCGACTTGGTCTTGTGACTTCACGTATTCCACTTGCACATCCTTTCTTGCAATGCACTCTCTTATGTAGTGATAACGAGTATCTATGTGCTTGCTTCTGTCATGGAATACTGGATTCTTTGTTAGGGCTATTGCAGACTTGTTGTCGACATAGATCTCTGTTGGTTCTTCTTGTGGCATGCTTAATTCTTTTAGCAAGTTTCTCAGCCAAATTGCATGGCAGACACATGAAGTAGCAGCTACGTATTCAGCTTCGCAGGTAGAGAGAGTGACAATCGGTTGCTTCTTCGACATCCATGTGAATGCAGTGTCTCCCATGAAGAACACAAATCCAGTAGTGCTTTTTCTATCATCGGAATCTCCTGCCCAATCATTGTCGCTATATCCAGCAAGTTTGTAGTTATCAGAACTTGAATAGAATAAGCCAAAGTTAACAGTACCTTTAAGGTATCGAAGAATTCTTTTGGCTGTCTTCAGATGTGTAGTTGTGGGATTCTCCATGTAGCGACTGACTAATCCGACGGCATAGAGAATATCTGGTCTTGTGCAAGTCAAGTAACGCAAGCTTCCAACTAAACTCTTGAAAAATGTTGGATCTACACTTTCTCCTTCGTCATGCTTGGTTAGTTTGACTCCGCACTCCACTGGCGTGTTTATGGGCTTGCAGTCGTCCATTTTGAACTTTTTCAGTATCTCTTTTGTGTAGCTTTCTTGGGAGATGAAAATACCTTCTTCGTTCTGCTTGACTTCAATGCCTAGGTAGTATGCCATCAACCCGATGTCCGTCATCTCGAATTCTTTGGTCATCACTCTCTTGAACTCTTCAAACATGCTTGGATTACTTCCGGTGAAGATTAGATCATCCACATATAAGCACACAATCAAAATATCTCCATCTTTGACTTTGACGTAGAGAGCATGTTCATGAGGGCACTTGGTGAAGTTGTTCTCATGGAAGTACTTGTCAATGCGACTATTCCATGCTCGTGGCGCTTGTTTTAACCCATAGAGGGCTTTCTTCAACTTCAAAACTTTATCTTCATGCCCTTTGATTTCATAGCCTGATGGTTGCTGAATGTAGACTTCTTCTTCAAGGACTCCATTTAGGAAAGCGGACTTCACATCCATTTGTTGAATCTTCCATCTGTTTTGAGCTGCCAACGAAATTAGTAATCGTATAGTTTCCAACCGAGCAACAGGTGCAAATACCTCATCATAGTCGATTCCGGCTCTTTGACTATAGCCCTTCGCCACTAATCTCGCCTTGTATCTTTCGACCTCTCCATTGGCATTTTTCTTTGTCTTGTACACCCACTTGACTCCGATGGCTTTGTGTCCTTTCGGAAGAATAGCGAGTTCCCATGTATCATTCTTCTGGATTGCTTCAATTTCTTCATCCATTGCTTTCCTCCACTTAGTATCTTGCACTGCTTCTTGGAAGTCAACTGGTTCACAATCAGCAAAGAGACAGAAAAGTGTAGGATTATCGAGTCTTTCAGCTACCTCATAAAGATCTCGTAGACTTCTTGTGCGTGGTACTTCTCTTTCATTTAGACTCCCACTTGGTGATGCTGATGCTGGTGAATTTCCATGATTGGTTGATGTTGGTGAAGCAGGTGGAGTAGTGGATTCTTGTTGAACTTCTCTTGCTTGCTCCATCGTCCCTTGTTCATTCTTTTCTTCAAATTGAGGAAAGAAGCTGAGATCACTTGCATGAGAGCTAAAATCCCATTCTCCTTCTTCGTCGAACGTCACGTCTCGACTGATCATCGTCTTCCCATTGTTTGGATTATACAACTTGTAGCCTTTTGAATTTGAGTCATAGCCGATGAAGATGAACTTCTCACTTTTGTCGTCGAGTTTGGTTCTCCTCTCGTCTGGTACATGTACATGGGCTATGCTTCCAAAAACTCTTAGATGGGAGATACCTGGCTTTCTTCCACTCCATGCTTCTTGTGGAGTCTTTCCCCACACACTTCTTGTTGGAGACCGATTGGATAGGTAGACAGCACATGCTACAGCTTCTGCCCATAACTCTTTAGGTAATCTCTTACTTTTGAGCATACTTCGAGCCATGTCGAGGATAGTTCGATTTTTTCTTTCCGCCACACCATTTTGTTGAGGGGATCTTGGAACTGTCAAAGGTCGACGAATTCCATTTTCTTCACAAAACTCTTGAAATTCCTTCGAAGTGAATTCTCCTCCTCGATCAGATCTCATGGCTTTGATCTTGCAACCACTTTCTTTTTCTACAGCGACTTTGAACTTCTTGAATGCTCCAAAGACTTCTGATTCTGCTTCAAGAAATACACCCAGGTTTTCCTTGAAAAATCATCAATGAAGAGAAGGAAATAATTATTTTTACCCAAAGAGCTTGGTTTTATTGGGCCGCACACATCGGTGTGAATGAGCTCAAGTGGCTTCTGGGTTCTTGTGGTCGACTCCTTTGGAAAGCTTTTCCTGAACTGTTTCCCAAGTAAACATCCTTCACAAACTTGATTAGGGTGGCTGATGCACGGTAAGCCTCTCACCATCTCCTTCTTAGATAATAACTCCAATCCCCCAAAGTTAAGATGCCCAAAACGAAGATGCCAAAGCCAAGATATGTCTTTGTAACAAATCTTGAGACACTTTGTAACATCGTTTTGAATGTCCATGGGAAACATCCTATTCTTTGACATTTTCGCCTTGGCAATTAATCTTCCTTTGTCATCTCTAAGAAAAAGGATATAATTTTTCGTATGAAAATCATAACCTTTTTCTAAGAGTTGACCCAAACTCAAAATGTTGCTTTTCATATTGGGCACGTAGTAGACATTTGAAATTAATTGGTGACCGCCATTTTTCAAGGGAATAAGGATGTTACCTTTTCCTTTTACAGGTATTTTGGATTCGTCTCCAAAAGAAACGTTGCCACTCACTGATTCATTGAGCTCTACGAACACGCTTCTTCTTCCACACATGTGGTTGCTGGCGCCGGTGTCAAGATACCATGTATAGTCTTGGTCTTTATCATTGTTCTTGCATGCTAGTAGCACAATGCCATTCTCTTCTTTATCTTCTTTCACATAATTGACCTTTTCATCAGGTCTGTTGCTTGGAGCTCTACATTCCCAAGCATAATGCCCGAACTTTTGACAATTGTAGCATTGAACTTGAGATTTTTCATACCTCAAATTTGAGCGCCCTCTTCCACGACCTTTTGTTGAGCTTTCTCCTCTATCGTAGTTGCTTTGGTTGTTGAAGTTCCAACCACGTCCACGTCCATATCCACGCCCACGTCCGCGACCTTGGCCACGACTTCTTTCGTATTGGCTTCTCTCGTTGTCGAAGCTTCCTTCTTTCTTCTTTGGCTGAACATGTGTCTTGAGGAGCTGCTCATCATTCCCTTGCCTCTTCTTATGTTTCTCTTCATATGCTTGTAGCGAACCCATTAATTGCTCTATACTAATTTCTTCCAAGTTCTTTGTTTCTTCAATCGTCACGACAATGTGCTCGAACTTGGGGTCCAACGAGCGTAGTATCTTCTCCATAATTCTAACATCTTCTAACTTTTCTCCGTTTCTTTTTAATTGATTGGAAACGGCTAAGACTTTTGAAAAATAATCAGAGATTGATTCAGACCCTTTCATTTGTAGAGATTCGAACTCACCTCTTAGTACTTGAAGACGAACCTTTTTCACTTGTTCGGCTCCTTTGTAAGAGGTTTGAAGCTTCTCCCATGCTTGCTTGGCAGAGGTTGCACTCGAGACTTTCTCAAAGCCATTGTCATCTAATGCTTGGTAGATGAGGTAGAGAGCCTTCTTGTCTCTCTTTCTTGAATCTTTCAAACTCTCCTTCTGGGGTTGGGACAGAGTAGCTTCATCTTCTGGCTCAGTGTAGCCTTTCTCCACGACTTCCCATACATCATGTGCTCCCAAAAGGGCCTTCATTTTGATACTCCAATTATCGAAGTTGTTGTTGTCGAGCACTGGAACTTGGAAGGCTGCCATAGCGTTGCTAGCCATAGCTCTGATACCACTTTGTTGGGACTTAAAAAGGCTTCACTACTTTCACAAAGAAGAATGAAATGCAGCGGAATTGATAGGCAAGAGAAAGAACACTCAAAGTGTTATACAAATTTTTTTTATTCTCACACAAACTTAGTACAAGAGGAAACACTCAAACACTCTCACACTTCTTGCTCTCTTACTTGCTCTCACTTCTTCTTAGTTCTTGCTTCACAACTCACACACATACACCTATTTATAGGCATGTTTGCCGACCTATGCCATCACTAGAGTTTTCTAGTGTATGAACATGCACATACTACACCAACCTAGGCATTTGCTAGATTATTCTAGCTTGTTATGCATGCCACCGACATGGGCATTACATAATAACCTATACATTTATGATGGTTCTAGCCTTTTCTACATACAAACCATTTTTCTAGATTTTCTTAAACTTTTCCAACTTTCTACCTTCTTTGCTAGAGTTTTCTAGCATTTTCTCATTGGTTTTGGGTTGGATCACTTGTCTTGGGCCTAAGACAAGATTACTATTCAACAGATAGAGCCGTGGAGACAGCTGCTACCAAGATCTAGGCCAATCACATGACCCGTCTTCTCATCACACTTGACACCTTCCCATGAGCAGCAGGTGCTATTTCCTCCTTCAGCTGGTTTCCATGATGAAACCTTTGGATAAGCATCGGGAGATCTAGAAGCAGATTTGTCAATAGTAAAGCTGTCTCTGAATTGCAGCAGGGCGGACTTCTCCTCATCAGGGCAAGATGGATACTGCTTCTGCGAAGAGTAGGAAGAGTTAGCAATAACCACATGATGAAACAGCAACAAAACTAGTACTGGTTTTGAAATGCGAATGGTGGAGATATCAAGAAACCCCATGACAACAATATTTTGATTTTTTTTTTTTTTTTTTTTTTTGCACTCTTAGCTATGTATGGAGTGGAAAGTGATACAACTATTTATAGACTGGCATCAGCATAAAATTCTTCCGCAAATTAATCTCTAAAAAGTGATGGAGATGGGTGTAATGAGGACAAGTGCATCGTATCTTCTACATGTATAAAAGATGCTCTTGACTAATTTATTCGTGAGTTAATTTTTGAAGTCAAGTCTTCCAACTTTTGAGATGGTGTGAAATTAGAAGTTAGACAAATGAGCAGCACCATAAAAGAAAAAAAAAATATTTGCATACACACATATAGTTTATCGCATGAGTTCCTTCTGTAAGGGTTTATGGTATTTGTATTGACACTCTTGTAAGGTTTTATCATATTTGTATGCCCAATTGCAAGACTTATCAACTTTGTATTTGGGTACTTCTAAATGTGTTGGACCTTCATGCTTGAAATCTTCATTAAAATATGTGTAATTTGTATTGGAATACAAAATTAAACAAAAAAAAATGTTAACGGGTGACTCATGAGCTTAATAGGTTGAGTTTGAGTGACTCATTAATTTAACGAGTCGGGTGTGGGTCACTCATTAGCTTAAAGGTTCAGGTGAAACCCGACTCAAACCCAATAAACCTGACTTGTTTATAGGTTACCAGCATATAGTAAGGGGGATGAAAGTTTCGAACTCTCAACAACAAATTAAGACATTAGAGTCATTAGATTCAATTCTTGCATTGGCTTGAAGTGGGATGGATTTGAAGCCATAACTTTTCATTCGATATCCAATTTCTTCATCATTAGGACTTTCAAACTCCTAGCATATATTAAGTCAAGAGTGCAGGTGTAACGAAATTTTTCGTGTTGGATTTGGTCTATGTTGCATTTTTCAAACCACAAGCCCTTTTTTCATCAGAAAAGAAATATCTCATTAACTCAAGAGAAAGCAAGGAAGAGAGATACTTCCACTTGGAGTTGAAGCCCCAAGCCCCAACCATAGGAAAACTGCAGAAAAACGTATTTGGCTCAATTCTAATTTTCATTCATTCTCAAATGTACAATATATATTAAATACAAATATATAGATTATTTACAAATGCACGCCATTTACTCTTGTGTGGTGCTATCCACACACCCATTTTTACCTGTCACACACCACTCCCAATTTTCGGACGTCGGGCCATGTGAATGGTAGAAGATCAATGTACAAAAATTAACAAGTGTGTGTATGAAATAAAATGGGGTGTGTGAATAGCATTAGGAGAAATTAGATTCAAATCCTTCATTTTCCTACTCCATTGATTAAAACCTTATTCCTTTTCAATTTTTGATCAACGTCGTTGGATATTAATAATATCATTAATTATTTCAATAATAATTTTTTTAAATATATTCCTTTAGTGTTAAAAATGTTACAATTAATATATTTATATTTATGGCTAAATTTTTTATCATATATTTTTATTTTTAGTTTGTAACCATTTTTAATTTGCAAACCTTTTTTAATTTGTACCAATTTTCTTTTCAATTTTAATTTGTACCCATATATTAATTTCTTTTTGTGCCCATATTTTTTAAAGTTTTATTTGTATTTGTGTCCATGTGTTTACCATCACGTGACATTGTATAATTAATCAATAATAGAAAAATTACATATGGTATATTTATGTTTTATGGCTAAACTTTGTATCATATATTTATATTTTTAGTTTGTACCCACTTTTAATTTGCAACCTTTTTTTTAAATTTGTTGTATTTTCTTTTTAGTTTTAATTTGTACCCATGTATTTTTTTTTTTTGCACCCATATTTTTAAAAATTTCATTTGTACACATAATTTTTTAATTTTTTATCTGTACCCTAATTTATTTATACTGTACCCATTCTTCTTTATTAATGTACCACTTTGTTATATGTGAAATGTACCAATTTGTTTTGTAAAATGTACCAATTTTTTTAACACTATGGATACATTAATTCTTTTGCCATTTATTATTTGTTATTGTTACATAGTTTTTATCCATTTATTCATCAAAATGTTTGAATTTTTCATTGTAGCCGTTTCTAATAATATTATAATGAGGGATTTTAAATTTATAGGATTATAAATCTTATAAAATATCAAACAATTAATGTCAAAACTATAAAAATATAAATATTAATAGTCATATAATGAGATGTGCAAAGTCAATGGACTTTGATCAAACTTTGAATACCATTAAGGTTTTAGTTAAAAAGTGTTAGAGATTAGAGACCCCATCCAAAGTATCTCATAACATTATCCTTACTCTTTCATACAATTAGCGTAATGCAAAAAAGTCAACGAACCCATGTAGAAGATTTAATGAGTCGAATTGTTCAATGAACCAAACCCATGTAGAAGATTTAATGAGTCGAATTGTTCAATGAACCAAATTAACTAACACTGCCCCTCAAGTTTTGTTGGGTAAAAGCTTAGGCGCTCAAAGCTTACTTTTACCTGACGGAATGATTTCATCTCAGAAGGTGTTTTCTTATAGTGATACCAATTAACTCCATGACAATAATCTTTTTAATTATTTTACGGAGTAATTAGGTTTTCATCCTTATTGTTACTACTCTATTGATTAAAACCTTATTACTTTTCAATTTTTGATCAAGGTCCTTTGTATTAATAATATCATTAATTATTTCAATAATAAAATATTTTTTATTTCTAAATATATTCATTTAATATTAAAAATGTTACAATTAGTATATTTATATTTATGGCTAAATTTTTTATCATATATTTTTATTTTTAGTTTGTACCCATTTTTAATTTGCAACCCTTTTTTAATTTGTACCAATTTTCCTTTCAATTTTAATTTGTACCCATATATTAATTTCTTTTTGTGCCCATATTTTTTAAAGTTTTATTTGTATTGTACCCATATTTTTTTATTTATTTGTACCCATTTTTATTTTTGCTAAATGTACCCATTTTGAAGAATGTACCCATGTTTTGATACAATAATTTTTTGGTTATTTTTTATGAATGTACCCATGTTTACACACACACACAATAGTATATTTATATTTTAATATTTGTAATCCCACAAATTATGTTTTTTATTTAAAATCTCATTACTATAAACAACTATAAATTTTAATTTTTAATTTAAAAAATATAGTAACGTACATAGAAATAAATTATCAATTAATTTTAGGGACTTGGATCAAAAATTGAAAACCAACAAAGTTTCAGTCAAAGATTATTCATAACTAGGGACCGCATCCAAAGTCTCCTTTATTTTATTTTTTCACTCTTAGCTATGTATGGAGGTACAAAGTGACATAACTATTTGTAGACTGGCATCAATATAAAATGATTCTGCAATATGATTTCTAAAAAGTGATAGAGACCGGTGTAAAGGGGACAAGTGCATCGCATTTCTTCTACATGCATAAGAAGAGATACTCTTGACTAATTGATTCATGAATTAACTTTTGAAGTCGTCTTCAACTTTTAAAATAGCGTGAAATCAGAAGTCAAAAAAATAAGCAGCACCATACAAGAAACAAGGCTTGATGACGCAGCACTAGCGTAGAAGGATTAAAAATATAAATCCTTGAAGAAACAAAGTTTTTGGAACCCACCAGTTTGATAGAAACTCTAAAAGGATAATTTGATTAATTGATGAGTTGATGATTACAATGGATAACACCCATGACTTAAATAAGTCATTTACAACACTTTTGGACAACTCAAAAGGCTTAGAGAATTAAAACGAAAGTAAATGACATTAATCGGACGACAATTGAAAAGTCCAAACTTATTACAAACTTTATTTTTCGGTTTTGGAAGCCACAGTCACAAGAGTTGGCAAGCTCCGCACACAACCGAAGGACATAGTTAGCTTATTGATTACTCAGCCTGCGTGCCACGAATGCTTGGTAGTTTTTAAGGTCAACAATTGTACATTTGAGAATGAAGGAAAAGTACAATTGAGCCAAATATGTTCTTCTACAGTTTTCCTATGGTTGGGGCCTCAACTCCAACTCGAAGTATTTCTCCTCTTCCTTGCTTTCTCTTGAGTTAATGAGATATTCCTTTTCTGATGAGAAAAGGACTTGCAGTTTGAAAAATGCAACATAGACTAAATCCAACATGATAAATTTCGTTACACCCGCACTCTTGACTTAATATATGTTAGGAGTTTGAAAGTCCTAAAATGATGAAGAAATTGGGTATCGAATAAAAATTTCGGGCCTCAAATCCATTGCACTTCAAACCACTGCAGGAATTGAAATAGATGACTCTAATGCCTTAATTTGATGCTGAGAGTCTGAAACTTTCATCTCCTTTACTATCTGCTGGTAACCTGTAAATGGGTCCCGTTTATTAGGTTTGGATCGTGTTTCACCTGACCCGTTAAGCTAATTAGTCACCCCCAACTCGTTAAGCTAATGAGTCATCCAAACTCAACCTACTAAGCTCATGAGTCACATGTTAACATCATTTTTTATTTTTTTTTAAATTTTGCATTCCAATACAAATTACACATTTTTTAATTAAGATTTCGAGCATGAAGGTCCAACACATTTAGAAGTACCCAAATGCAAAGTTGATAAGTCTTGCAATTAGCCATATAAATATGATAAAACCTTATAAGAGTGTCAATACAAATATCATAAACCCTTACGGAAGGAACTCATGAGATCAACTATAAATGTGTTACATATATGCAAAAATTAACTTCTTTTTTTTCCTGTTTTTTGCGGAAAAATTTTCAAACCTAACATGTGGACAAACAACGGGATGACGTGGAGCGAATGTGACTACTGAGATATTATGGTGGAACCTCAACTTCTTAAACAGAAACCCATTAATTGTAGAAGAATCGTGTCTATCAAGTGTCGAAGAGTCATATCAACCAAGTAAGACTAGTGGATGGCGTTTCTTTGATGAGAAAAGAACTTGCAGTAGTTTGAAAAAATCAACATAGACCAAAACCAAAGCACAAGTTCCACACATAGGCCCGTATCCACTCCACCGGTCGAATTAAAACCTAATTACTATATTTGGTTGCATTCATTATTTTAAGAATCGTCCGTGTATAAGAGTCGTATCAAACAAATAAGACTATAGTGGATGGCGTTTCTCTCTTACTTGACGTTAACAAGAATATGTACACTTCCTAGAGACATATGTAGTTGGAGGAGGTTTCCCCATGGTTGGGGCCTCAACTCCAAGTCGAAGTATTGTCTCTTCCTTGCTTTCCCTTGAGTTAATGAGTTACTGAGATATTTCTTTTCTGATGAGAAAAGAACTTGCAGTTTGAAAATATCAACATAGACCAAAACCAAAGCACAAGTTCCACACATAGACCAGTATCCACTCCACCGGTCGAATTAAAACCTAATTACTATGTTTGGTTGCATTCATTATTTGTTTAGTCTTGTCGACTTTAAGAAAAGAAGGAGTAATTCAGTCAATCTACACTACTCTTAAATCCTTCTGTGCCACATGATCTTAGGTTACTTTCCTATTATTTAGGAGGGTTTACGATTGCTTTCATGTTTGTTAAGAATTGCGTCTTTATAAATACACCATGTAACTTCGCTCGAGTTGAGTTTGGTAAGATGTAGTCATTTTGTGTTATGTATCAATTTTAGCAAAGTTTTGTAATCAATCGGTTTGTACTTCTTTTTCTCTTTCCTTCATTTATTTATTTTTTACACACTTGCTCTCCAACCATTAATCTGGATCTTGAGGTCGAAGATCAGATGGTTGAGGTCAAGTTAAGTGATGTAAGACAAGATATGAGTCACTTCCTATGAAGAAATATAAATAAAATAAAATGTTTCAAGAGAAGAAGAATTAAAATTGAAAAATATTGGATTCAATAAATATGGAGAAAAGGCAGCAAGAAATATTCCGATGTCATAGGAAGGAACACGTCTCGATCTTCGGGTTCTAAAGCCTGAAGACAAGGCTGCTAGTTCTGCGAAGTTCAAATATCAAATTTGGCTTTCAATGTGCCGAATGTAGTAACCTGTAACACCTCACTTCGCCGAGAAGGTTGATGAAATGACCTCTACCAACAAGGACTTAAAAATCCTTGTCGACCGAGACTTGGATAGGTAATCAATCGGCCGACAAGTAGTGCTGCTTATCCAAACTGAAGGTGCTCATTGATCGGCTGATTCTATGGCTCCAGTGTTGTTTATCCAAACTGAAGATGTCGTTGGTTGCCTTCACAATGCTGTTTATCCAAACTGAAGATGTGTCGGTGAGAAAAAGAAAATAAAAATCTCAAGGTTGTTGAGAGGTTTCGCGTAGAGCGAGAGTTTGCGTAAGGTAGTTTGTGTGTTGAATTGGAGAAGCCCTTGAATGATGCACTCCCTTCTCTATTTATATCAGCGAGAACCCCTATGGCCGAACTAGAAATATATTAGGATTAGAACTCCTTAAACCAATTTGATTAAACTTCGACCAATCCTAATCTTCATAGGACTTTGAACCAAACCTTCAAACAAACTAGGTTCATCTCCTAATACCAAGTACTTTAGCTTTGAGACTCCTTATTATACCAGGATTCAACTACTTCACCTTTATTCGAAATAATCCTCTTCGTAGCAGGATTCGGCTAACCTCGACAGGGCCGGCCCATGACAAGATTCTAAATAAAAACCATTGGGCCGAGAATATTTCTGAGCTCAGCCCAAAATATCATTTTGGGTCCAAACATTGGTCCATTGCTTCTGAGGTCCTCGGCCTAAAAATTCTGGCTGAGCCTCGACCTTGAAAAAGTGAAATCAAACCTTTAGTATATCTTCGAAAGACAACGAAAAATCTCAAATATTCTACCCACTCAGGTGCATTTATGAAGCACGATTGCACGATCTTAATTTGTCAGATGCTCTGCCACGTGGTGATTCCTCAGCTTACTCGTCTGCCATTAATAATGACATTTGAAACGTGCAACCATCGAAACGTCTCTTCACCATTAAATTTGCTGTCATATGCAAACGTGCATCCTCAATCCATGAGTTCTTCGGTCTTCGGTCTCTTCACCTGGATTCTTTGAATATCCATCATGATTACAAAATCCTCTGGTCAATTTTACCCCCTAAGAACTATTGATCTTCCTCCCAAAACACCTATAAATACTCAGTTTTCCTTCATTCATACCTTACGCTTTTAAAAATCTCAAATCTCATTGCCACTTGCTCTCAATACTAGAAAAACCAACCTTCCTTTGAAACCTATAAAACCTTCATCTTCTTCAATGGCTGCCAATACTTTCATCACCAAGTTGGTCGAGGAATGCACTAAATGCCAAAGCATCACTAATCGAAACACTATCAAAACCATCTGATTTGAGGATGAGCCAAATGCTTCCCACTAAACCCTCGGTCCATTGTTCAAAGACGATGTTCCAGAAGTGATCATCGAAATGCTCAAGGAGCATTGCTTGAAACCCTTATTCCAAGGGTATGATTGGTCGAAATGGGAATTGGCCAAACCCCAAGGCGTTTGGCCTTCGATCACTGCGGCCTAGGTTGCCTGGTTCACTCAGATGGAGCCACATTTCGGCGACGAATGGAAAGCTCTAGGCATTTTTTATGTCATTAAACTCTCGACCATCGAGATGAGCTTAGATCGAGAGCTCGTGATGGCTGCTTTGAGCTTCTGGTGCTCGGCCACCAATACGATGGTTCTCCCCCTCGGCCCCTTGGCCCAACAGTGATGGACATCACAACCATACTTGGCACCTCTCCTACCGGCCTCCCAGTCGACAAGTCTCTCTCCGGGTATCAATTTGACCTGGACCTGAAAACCATTTTCGAGGAGCATGCCATTGAATCCCTGACAAAGGAAAACCAAAAGCTGTCGAAGGAAGATGCGTATAAACTACATAAAAAATTCTTCAACTATAACACCCTAATCACTCACTTCACTGGCTCGAGAGGGGAAAATCTTAAAAAGGGTGAACACGGGGCCTTCTTATTCTACTGGTACAACAAATATATATATTGTGCCAAGTCAAATAAATGCTTGGCTGAGAATATGCCTATTGCCGAAGCCTTGGCTAGCGGTCATGTCCTGGCCCTTAGTCCGGCCGTTCTTGCTAACCTCACCAAAACGGCCCGTTCTGGGTTTTTCAGCTCTGGTTGCAGGTCTATTTCTCTGCGTTGCGGCCAGACCTTGCAAGTTTCAACTCTTCCGAAGCCATAGGCCTTGAGCTGGCCTCACGACCCATTCTTTCCCACTTGGCCAAAGAGATCTTCAAATATTTCTTTGGCCTAAAAGACCTGTCGGACGACGAATTCCATATTTGCCATCGCCGAGCGTACCCCCCTTCCATCATCCTTCAACATTGGCATGGAAAGATGTCGACGAAGCTGATCTCCAAAATTTCTAGGGGTCATTTATCATCACTCGCAACCTGCCCTATGGTTGCAAGGCTCGACGAGGAAGCTGGGAAGTTTATCACCCAAACTTCTTGGCTCGTCAACTGGGTTTTCTTCAAGGATGCCATATGCCATTCCTTACTTCTCTTTCCCTCTTGAGCCGAGAACGCTTCTTCGGCTCTTCAGAGAGGGAGTGTGAAGTAGCTAAGAAGGATTTCAAGGAGTGGTGTGCCAAATTCAGTCTTCGACTGAAAACTCCAGAATCCCGTTATGCTAGCATCTTTGCCGATTGGTGGGATACCTATACTAAGGATTTCTTCAGAACTTCGGCTGAGGAAATCTCACAAAAGCTTTTTGGCGACGACCCCAAAAAAACTCTCGCCCTAAAATCCAGAGAAATGGCCCAAGGTATATAGCTTTCCTTTTTATTTTTCTTACTTTTTTATTTCGGACTTCTTTTTTATTCAAGCTCAGTGTTTTTAGGTGATTGGGATGGCCACGGCTAAGAAAAAACTTACCACTCCCATGAGGAAAACTGCAACTGTCGCACTAACCCCATCAAGCAAACGATTTCGTCCGAATGCCGAGACGGTTGATGAAGCTCCCCGGGCGAGAAAATGTGTTAAGAAATTGGCAAAGAAAGGGGAACAAGAGATCCATGTTATCTTTAGCCAAACCATGGGAGCAACTACTCCCAGTGCCTTTCTCATTTCCCCTGCTGTCAAGGTCTCGGCCATGGTGTAGGGAGACTTAGTGATTGAGCTGGTCACCAATCCGGCTGTCGAATAGCCTACAACTTCAACACTGGCCGCTGCTCACGTCGAAGTCAGCCTGGCGGTTGCTACCCCGAAGAGAGCAACTTTTGTAGCAAAAAAAAATCTCCCCCCGAATCCAAAAAAAGCTTCAACAATCATCCTAGAATAAGAGGTATAAAATTTTATAATGTTCTTTTTATCTCGAACTCATTGTCTAACGACTAATCCATTGTCTAGGAGGATGAAAGTGAAGGGCCCCTACTGGTAAAACATCCTCAACCAGCCGAATTGCCGACTATCACTTCTCAACTGGCAGTCGAGGCGGTGGATCAAGCCGATGCTCCCACAGCTGAAGCAGGTTTGGGTTATGAAACACCACTCCATGTCGAGCCAGAAGCAACAGCCGAGATGCCGATTCATCTCTAGGACCAGAATCTCAATATCCCTCCCCAGGATGTTACTTTAACCTTTGTAAGAACCGTTACCATGTCCCATTTTCAATTCCTAACCTTTGAATTATGAACCAAGAGCAACCATGAAAATGCCAGGTGCCTTATCGTTCATTTCACCGATAATTTTACGCGTCAAATGGTGTTATTTATATTTCTTGGTTGCTTCAATGGCCATCGAATGTAGATAGCCTCTAGCTGATATGGCCGAGGTCTCATCTCGACAGGTCTATCATAACTTCTTTATCTGATATTCTTTTGGACTCTTCTTTACTAACTTCTTCTTTGTGCAGCTTCATGGGAAGTCGAGCTCGACGCTCTCCTCTTGAGTACTTCTGGAGTAGCCGGGCTTTCTGTTGCGTCGACCGAGCCTTCAGTAATCGCGGTCGAATCCAATACCTTCGTCAAGTTTCAGGAACTTCTATCCCTTTTAGCCTCACAAGTCCTTTAATGTAAAGGCATCGACTCTGTAGAATAATGCTTGAACGATCTTGTAGCCGATGGCTTGTTGAGCACCGAAAGTGTCGTCCACTTATCCAATATCCTGGAGCGGACCCGACAATACTTCGCCACTTTTGAAAGGGCTCTCCGAGCTGAGGATAACCTTAAGTCTATAAAGGCAGCTCATGATGCTAGCCAACCGAAGGTTGAAGCTATAAAAGCAAAGAAGACTCGACTGGTTGACCTTGATCGTCAGATCGCCAAACTCCAGCGTCAAAGGTCGATCGTCGCTTCAGAGCTCGAGAAAGATTTTGAGGCGAATAAGTCCATCCTGACAGACCACATAGCCAACTCAAAGCGGATACAACAACTGCAGCTTGATAAAAGAACAAGACAAACCGAAGTTACAATGGGTGAAGTAAGGTGGTTGGAACTGAAAGCCGCTCTTAAAGCCTTCCTTCCTTCGACCCCTTAGGATTTTGGCCTTATTAACCAACTGTTGGATTCTTTTTGTAATTCTTGTTTGTAAGCCTTTTTGCAAAATTAATGAAACAAAACTTTTATTCTCGCATTTCCCATTGATTAGTAGTTTATGAATTAGACCAGTTCGATCTTTAAGGTGGTATGTCCCCATGCCGAGAACTTTATAGAAGACAAACGGTCCTTCCCAATTCGGCGACCATTTCCCAAATTTGGGATCTTTCATCCCTACGGGTAACACGATTTGCCATACTAACTCTTCCTCGTCGAACGTTTTTTGTTTGACTTGTTGATTATAGGCTTGCTCGGCAATCTTTTTTTGCACCACCAATAAATTATAAGCATCAAGTCGAGCAACCTCAAAGTCTTCTAACTCTTGTCTCATGGACTGATTGTATTCAGCACTGAACAAACTACTTTGTTCAATTACTCGTAATGAGTTTATACTTAACTCAACTGGTAGCATCGCATCGTGCCCATAAGTTAACACGTAAAGGGTCTCCTTGGTTGCTGATCGAGGTGAAGTTTGATAAGCCCATAATACCTCATTTAATTTCAAATGCCACATGCCAGGCCTTTCTTCTATCATATTTTCAAGAATACTGATTAAAATCTTATTACTTGCTTCGGCCTGTCCATTTACCTGTGAGTAAAACGGCGGGGACTGTTCCAGTTAAATTTTTAAACTCGCTGTGTACTTTTTGAATCTGTTAGATGTAAAGATTGTACCGTTATCCGTTATGATTATTTTTGGTATGCCGAATTTGGTTACGATATTTTCTTCCCTAAAATTACAAACTTCTTTAGACGTTAACTCGGCGTATGACTTTGCTTCGACCCATTTGGTGAGGTAGTCTGTTACAACAAGTATCCACACATGCTTAGCTGACTCGGAAGACGGCGTAATTTTACCGATTACGTCTATGGCCCATCCTCTGAACGGCCAGGGTTTGGTGACTAAGTGAAGTAATTCGGCCGGGACTTTTTGTATAGGCTTATGAATTTGACACTGTACACATCCTTGTACGCACTCAATACAATCCTTCAATATACTTGGCCAAAGAATCTTGAGTCCAGATTGATGAGCTCCGTAAATTCCTTCGTGTACTTCTGTAATTTCTTAAGCAGCCTCCTGTGGGCTGAGTCACAATAACAATAAACCATCATCACCCTTCCAGTACAACTTATTCTGGTACAACACGTAATTTAAGGCATGGACCCTTGTCTTGCGGTCGTGTTTGTCACTGGGGTTATCGAGATATCACATGATTGATCTTCTTCAGTCGTCTGGTAATGTCTTAACAGCACACACATCTGCAGGATCTCCTCGTTCTAACAACGAAGGTAAGGAAATCACTCGTGTACGGATCAAGTAGCTGTGTTGGAGAACTTATTGATTAACCAAGGCTGGGTGCGATTGTCGTACTACAGGTATAGCCCGGCCTAGCTCGCCCCCAGGAGTTATGCTCCGAAGGCTATTTGAGCCAGTTCGTCTGCGTCGGTGTTTCAAACACGGAAGATGTGTTTGAATGTGATACCGTCGAACAACTCGGCCAAATAATTGGCAACCATGTGATAAGGCAACAGAGTACAACTCATGCAACGGAAAGTTTCATTGAGTTAGTTAATCACAAGTTTCGAATCGCTAAGGACGAGTATGCGGGTTGCCCTCAAGTTGTGAAAGATGCTGAGGTCGATGATAAGGGCTGCGTATTCGGCCTGATTATTTGTACAATCAAAATCAAGCTTAAGAGAAAAATACTAGCGGTGTTGATCTCGACCGAAGTACAACTCGGTATAAAAGACGAACTAGTTTGACTTTTAACAGCTGGGTTTATTCGGACCTCTCGATACGTCGAGTGGCTGGCCAATATCGTCCTGGTGCTAAAGAAGAATGGTGCCCTACGCATCTGTATCGATTTTCGTAATCTGAACCTAGCAACGCCCAAAGATGAATACCCGATGCCGATCTTCGATTTGTTAATTGACGCCGCAGCATACCACGAGATCTTATCTTTTATGGATGGGCATGCTGGTTATAACCAAATTTTCATCGCCGAAGCTGATGTCCATAAAACCACTTTTCGTTGCCTCGGGGCACTCGGCACATACAAATGGGTCGTCATGCCCTTTGGCCTTAAGAACGCCGGTGCCACATACCAACGAGCTATAAACACTATTTTCCATGATTTAATTGGTACCATCGTCGAAGTCTACATCGACGATGTGATAATCAAATCAGCACGTCAGCAGACACATTTGGATGACCTCCGTTAGTTGTTCCTGCGCATGCACTGGCATAATCTTAAGATAAATCCTGCCAAATGTGCTTTTGGCGTCTCAGCCTGAAATTTTTTAGGATTCCTCGTCCATCACCGTGGTATTGAGATGGACGACAACAAGGCTCACGCAATCATTAATGCTCCACCCCAAACGACTAAGAAACAACTACAATCATTGCTCGGCAAGTTCAAGTTTCTCCGTCGATTTATTGCCAATTCAGACGGGAAAATGAAAGCATTCTCCATGCTTTTGAAACTTAAGGACTCCAACACCTTCGAATGGCGTTCAGAACACCAAGAGGCATTTACACAGGTCAAGGTCTCCTTAACAGTTTTGCATGTCCTCGTCCCACCACGACGGGGCCGACCTCTTAAGCTATATATCTCGGCGGCTGAAGAATCCATCGGATGCCTTCTTGCACAAGACAATGACGCTGGGCAAGAATAGGTCATTTTTTACCTTAGCCGAAATCTCAATCCACTAGAGATTAATTACTCTGTTGTCGAGAAGTTTTGTCTTTTGTTAGTTTTTCGCTGCGTCAAAACTCAGACATTATATGCTCCCATCAGTCACTCAAGTCATCACCCAGGCCGATGTCATTCGTTACATGCTTACTCGGCCGATCGTAAAAGGCCGAATTGGCAAGTGGACGATGGCTCTCTCTGAGTTTAGCTTGCAATATGTGCCCCAGAAAGCTGTCAAAGGTCATGCTTTGGCCGATTTTTTGGCCCAACACCTTTCCTCGTATGAGTTCGGGGGCAATGACGTTGACATCGGAATGGTGGCAATACGTGGTAATTACTGAACGATGTAATTTTATGGTTCCAGTACTTCAGTCTCGGCTAGCGTTGGGATTGTTATTCAATCCCCCACTCATAATCGTTGGTATTTTTCTCTCGAGCTTGATTTCAATTGTACGAATAATCAAGCCGAATACGAAGCCCTTGTCATCTACCTCAGTATACTACACGATTTACGGGTAACTCATGTCCTTGTTCTTGGTGACTCTGAACTTGTCATCTACCTCGATGTACTTTTCGTTGCATGAGTTGTACTCTGGCGCTTTACCATATGGTTGCCAGCTATTTGGCCGAATCTTTCGACGGTGTTACTTTCAAACACATTTCACGAGTTCATAACACTGATGCCGACGAATTAGCTCAAATAGCCTCCAGAGCACAACTCATGGGGGGCAAATTAGGCCGAGAAATACCTGTGTCACGACAAGCACATTCGGCCTTAATTAATCAGTAAGTTCTCCAACGTGATTGCGTGATCCGTACACGAGTTATGTCCTTGCCTTCGTTGTTAGAACGGAAGGACACTGTTGAGGTTTGTGTTGTCGATGCATTACCAGACGATTGAAGAAGGACAATTATGCGATACATTGATAACCCTAACGAAAAATATGATCGACAGACAAGGGCTTATGCCACAAACTACGTATTATACCAGAAGGAGTTGTATTGAAAAGGTGAGGATGGGTTACTGCTGTTATGCCTCGGCCCACATGAAACTGCTCAAGCAATGGCAGAAGTACATGAAGGAATTTGCGGAGCTCACCAATCTAGATGAAAAATGCATTGGCTGCTTCAGCAGCATGGCTAGTTCTAGCCAAGTATTCTGAATGATTGTATTGAGTACGCAAAGGGTACAGTGTCAAATCCATAGGCCTATACAGAGAGTTCTGGTCGAATCACTACATTCGGTCACCAAACCATGGCCGTTTCGAGGATGGGCCATGGATGTAATCGGGAAAATCACACCATCTTCTGGTGCAACCAAACATGCGTGGATACTCGTTGCAACAGACTACTTCACCAAATGGGTCGAAGCCAAGTCATATGCCAAGCTAACCTCTAAAGAAGTTTGTAATTTCGTTGAAGAAAACATTGTGACTAGATTCGGCGTGCCAGAAACAATCATAATAGATAATGGTACGATCTTTACATCCGACAGGTTTAAGGAATATTCGGTGAATCTAAGGATTCGACTCGAGCAATCTACGTCGTATTATCGCAGGCAAATGGACAAGCCGAAGCAAGTAATAAGGTTCTAATCGGTATTCTCGAAAAGATGATAAAAGAAAGGCCGGGTATATGGCATTTAAAGATAAATGAAGCGTTATGGGCTTATCAAACTTCTTTACGGACAGCCACTGGAACGACTCCATATGGTTTGACTTATGGAAACAACGTAATGTTGCCAGTCGAGTTAAGTATAAACTCGTTGCGAGTAATTGAACAAAGTAGTTTGTTTAGCGCCGAGTACAGTTGGGCCATGAGACAAGAGTTAGAAAATTTAGAAGAAGCTCGGCTTAATGCTTATAACTTATTAGTGGCACAAAAGAAGATCGCCGAGGGAGAGTTGGTTTGGCAAACCATACTACCCGTAGGAATTAAAGACCCTAGGTTTGGCAAGTGGTTGCCAAATTGGGAAGGGCCATTTGTTATTCATAAGGTTCTCGGTAAGGGAGCATACCATCTTAGGGATAAAACTAGTGTAGTTCACAAGTTGCCAATCAATGACAGGTTTTAAAAAAATACTATCCAGTCACATGGGAGATTCCGGAATAAAAGTTCTTTTCATTAAGTTCGCAAAAAGTTGTACAAATGGAGTGGGGCGATCAGTTATAATCAAATACTTCTAGGATGATGAAGGTAGGAGAGATTCAAGAATGGCCTTCAACTCTAATTACCGCACCTCGCTCATCTTGACCTCAGCTTGCCGATTCCTCTTGTCCATCTTCAGCTGCTCGACCCGCTTCACGCTAGTTGCATAGTCAGTTAAGCAAGACTTGCC